CTCATAGCCCCCAACTTCCCCCTTTACTCCTTGACATTTCCCTGGCATTCCTCACACCCGCCCACCCACACCCATAAACCCCCCACCCCATCCCATGTCCCTAACTTACCCTTGACAGCGCCGGGGCAGCAGGAGCACCACAGAGACGCTCTGGCCAGAAACCAGAGCGTCTCTCCTGGAGGACCAACTCCTGGGTTGCCTCCAGGCATGTGCCTTGATCCGTGCCTTGTTCCGCTGTTCTGTGGCATGGTTTGTTGTTTTTTTTGACCCCTGGATATCCAGGGGTCTAATTTTGCCCCCATGCTGCATATATGCATTGCGGGGACCGTTTTTTTGTTCCTGCATGTGCATCTTGCAGCGTCTCAAAAGTGTTTGAGACGCTGCAAGATGCACATGCACACTTGTCTGGATGTGCCCATTGAGGGTAAATGTCCCTTCTGTTTGCTGGGCCAGAGAAGCGGGAGCCATTTTGGCAGCCATTAAAGCATGCCATCTCCATGGTTCTTTTCCAGTAAAGAACAAATCAACCTCTCCACATAACTAACAAACTAGCAGGTATTTGCACTAATTTGCCAGAAGAGTTCAGGTCATGTAATCAGTTTACTCTGCTAAGGAAGCTGTCAGCTCTGAAAAACTTTCCATACCCCCCCCCCCCCCCCCAAAAAAAAAAAAAAGAAAGTGGAGGGGGCTTGGATCAGAGCGGTACAGGTCTAACTAGTTAGTTACGCAAATTTAATTTCAGTTTATCTGACATTTTATATTTTCTCTTGGATGATTTATTGATGATGCCACATGCATTTATACCCTTTTGACATCATGTGGATCGGTTCTCCCATTTGTATTGCTTATGGTCATTCTTCCTTAGCTGAAGAAACAAGAAGAGAACTGTTGTCCAGCTGTAATTTTTTAATAAGAAGTCTGACAAAACTGTAATTCTCTCTCTAGCGCAGAAGTTTGTAAATCAGAAAATTTGTTTTCTTTGCTGTTTCTTTGGTAGCTGTAAAAATTCTTGTATGGAAAAAGAAAATGAATAAGCAGGGATTTTCCTCCTCTCCTCAAACACATTCAAATATTAGTCTGGCTATGGAGAGGTCAATATTTGTAGGTGTCTTTGAATTTAGAAGAGGTTATGATAAGGATGCAGTTCCTCTTTTACTCACAACATGGTACTTTGTCATGGTGAATTTATTTCAACAGAGATGTACATTAAAATTAGGAGTATATTTTATAGAATGTACTTAGCAGGAATACTGCTGGGAAAAATCAAGTTAGCTGATGCTGCTTCTGCTAGA